AAATATATATATTATTTGCTTTGTTTAATTAATCAACTCAATAAAATAAAAAATCAATTTTTTTAAACCTTGAATTTGGATGCAGCTTAAAATGAAAAATTTAGGCGATGACAATCAGCGAGCTTCTATGTTTTACAATATTTGAGATGTTAACAATAGTTTAGTCTTTAAAAGTATTTTGGTTACAGGTGTGTGTTATAATTTCCTGAATTTTCCAGTTAGATACTTAAACAAATTATGAGTGCAATTATGTTATAACTTTCAAATACAGCAGAGTCTTACTACAAGTGGATGGTAGTTTGATGTAAAAAAAAAAACAGTACATGTTTTTTATGCAAAATTCCTATAAAAATTATCCAAACAAATTTTTAATGTTATCTAAATTCATTTTAGCCAGCAACCGGCAAAAAATTTAAAAAAAAATTAAATTAAAAAAAAAAAAAAAAAAACCAACGAAAATAAATTTATGTCAACTAGTCAATTTATACAAGGAGACACATGTTTGTAAGCTATCTTAAAAAAAAAAAAAAAAAAAAAAAAAAAAAAAAAAAAAAAAAAAAAAAAAACCAACGAAAATAAATTTATGTCAACTAGTCAATTTATACAAGGAGACACATGTTTGTAAGCTATCTTAATTGTTTTCCTTTAGGCGTAAATCAATACATATTATGAAAAGAACTATAACGTAAGCATTCTGCATAAAAATGACAGTCTATAAAAAGAAGAGGGACGTCTAATAAATCCATGTGAATTGTTCATTGTAGTTTCAAAAGAAAAGTTTCACGAGCAAAAGTTTCTATCAAAAAGAATTGTGAGTTCTGCTAATACAAGTGGAATGCGAGGAATTCAAACGCTTCAACCTTTACTGGTACTTGTGTTGGTAATGAACGTAAACGAAATGCAGCCCCTGGGGCTGTAAAGCTAATCAAACATTTTGTTTATTTATGAACAGCTAATTTTTAAATACAGTTAAAATAAAGAAGCATGACGACTATAAACAAAGTACCGGTGAGTTATGATCGGTATTTTAAAAAAAAAAAAAATCAATTGATTTTACTTTGACTTTAACATTTCAATATTAGCAAATTAAAACTTAAAGAAGTTCATTACTAGTAATGAATACATTTAAAATAAAGACATAGCTTTTAAAAAAGTAAGTTTTCAAATCTTAATTTTAATTTCTTACAAGTTTAATTCTTATAGTCTAAAATATTTTTTTTTAAATATGAGTGCCCCCCCTCCCCCCACTCCCAACTCCCCCAAGGTTCACCTTTGCATGTTATTTTTTCTTACATCAAAGATCATGGCCATTAGTTTGGCAATGTGCAAAAAAATTATCCCGTCTTAAAATGCTTATCCAAATGACGACAGTAGGTGTTTTCAAAGACCAAGGACATTTACCAATGCAAGTAGAGCAAATCTCTAGGTTGTTTGACCACTCTTGCGACAGAATCTTTCTAAGCCAAAGTATTAGTAGAGTCTAATAGTTTAAATGAGGAATAAACCAATGTATAAAATATGGGACTACTAGGCTTCTATATTTCATATACCAAATGTCTATTGTTTTTATATACATGTATCTGTTTAGTTATCAGCTTATTTCATATGATAATTAATTTAATTTCTCTATTACAAAGTGTCCTAATATTATGTATATTTATCGATGGAAGGAACTATAGAGAATAAAAGTAAAAGTGTCATTTGTCAGTTACGTTTAAGGCCATATACCGTAAAATAGTTTAATTTTAATTTCTCAGTTACAACATATTCATTAAAAGAAAGCGATAAAGATTTTTTTTTCAAATATTTAGCTCCATGTTGATAGGTGTCCTCTACCAGATTCCACTGAGTAATGGAAATGTAGTGTAAGTAAAGTAAAATGACAGTTTTATTTTATAATTTCAATAATATTCAAGTTACCTAATGATGATATTTAAACATATTTTGATTATTTCTTGCTAAAATTAATCTGTAATCAAACTTTTATAAACTTAAATACAATTAAATTCAATCTGCAGACTATATGGAAAAAACAAGAAACGAAAAAAAAAAAAAAAAGAAAAAATCGATATCAAAGGGATATTATTTAAAAGGATTCTGATTCTGACAGACTACGTTGCTGCAACCAAGGACTCGGATATGTGCAATGGTTTGGGACACGATGCGGCTATCCTTACCGCTTCTAGCGGGTGCCAGGGCAGCCTTGAAACTCTCGATTGATGTCGTGTCCACGGCGGCATTGTCCAGTTGGTTCCATGCAATTATTATTCATGGGAAGAATGTTTGTTTATATTGAACTGTGTTACACCGAGGCACAGTGAAGCATTTATCATTCTTCCGGATGTAACTGGTCATGGAGTTGTCAGAGGTGAAGTCAGTGTTTATTGAGCGTTTGGCTCTGATTAAGCGGCCTGGCTTCTGTGGGGTAAGATACGTGTTAGCTGGAATGGCCGGCACTAGCCCCGTGACCACTTTATAGAGAAATGATAGACGGAGCTTTTCTCGTCTATCTTTGAGGGAGGGGATGTCAAATCTTTTTAAGAGGTCAGTGACGAAGCCAGGAGTCGTGGACTTCTAGTCACGTGAGATGAAGCGCAATGTGCTGCCTTGTATTCACTCCATTTTATCCACGTCTTGCTTTAGGTTTGGGTCCCAGATGATCGCACCATATTCTAGTAGCGGGCGGACGAGTGCGAAATAAGCATTCCGTTTGCAGGATCTTTTGCAATGGCGCAGATTTCTTCGAATGAAACCAAGTGTGGAGTTGGCTTTTTAAAAAAAAATTGTTTATATGGGGTGACTATTTTAGATTATTCGAGAAAAGAATTCCAAGGTATGGATGTGATACTTGTTGGAGAATGGAATTGTTTAGAGAATACATATAGGTTGATGTTTTTTTTTTCTTGAGATGTTCATTGTGTCTAAATATTTTTACAGAAATGATTTTTAAATTTACATTCTCAAGGTACACACAATTAATAAAATTATTTTGACTTTTACAACGTAAATAATAATAAAGATGGATTTTCAAGACTAATATACAGACCCGCAGATCGCTATAACAGAAAAATGCATATTTGAAGGAAAATAAAAATTATAAAATACTAGTTAATGACCTAAAATGATGTCTTATTAAATTATCAATAACAACTTTAAAATTATTCAGCAAATTTTTGAGGATATAGAGTAAATTAAAATTAAGTAAGTTGAATTTGTTATGGAGAGCTTTTACAACAGATGGCAATGCCAATTGGAATTACTACACATAAAACGAAAAAAGAAACTGTTCGATGGACATCGATCATGAAAGATTCAGAAAATTGCCATAAAGATATGTGTTTTCAACTGATTGAACAATGTGCAAATGATAATGAAAAAAAAATTGATGGATTGACATCTCTTATGTTAGCATCATTGAATGGCCATAAAGATATTTGTTTACTACTGATTGAAAAGGGTGCAAATGTTAATGCAAAATCACATCATGGATTGACGTCTCTAATGTTATCATCACGTAATGGCCATTCAGATATGTGTATACTACTTATTGAAAAGGGTGCAAATGTTAATGAAAAATCAAGTGATGGGTTTACACCTTTAATGCTAGCATCACGGAAAGGCCATAAAAATGTTTGTTTACTACTCATTAAAATGGGCGCAGCAGTGAATGAAAAAAAAATTGATGGATCTACATCTCTGATGGTCGCATCAAAGATTGGCCATGAAGAAATGTGTTTACTACTGACTGAAAGGGGAGCAAATGTTAATGAAAAAAACAATGATGGATGGACACCTCTAATGTTGGCATCACAGGATGGCTATAAAGATATTTGTTTACTACTGATTGAAAAAGGTGCAAATGTTAATGAAAAACAGAATGATGAATGGACATCTCTTATGTCAGCATCACAGAATGGTCATAAAGATATTTGTTTACTACTTATTGAAAAGGGTGCAAATGTTAATGAAAAAGACATTGATGGATGGGCATGTCTTATGATGGCATCACAGAATGGCCATAAAGATATTTGTTTACTACTACTTGAAAAGGGTTCAAATGTTAATGAAAAAAACATCAATGGCGGTACATCTCTTATGATAGCATCACTTAATGACCATAAAGATATGTGTTTACTACTACTTGAAAAGGGTTCAGATGTTAATGAAAAAAACATTGATGGATGGACATCTCTTATGTTAGCATCACTAAATAGACATAAAGATATTTGTTTACTACTTATTGAAAAGGGTGCAAATGTTAATGAAAAAATTTTTTATGGATGGACATCTCTTATGATAGCATCACAGAATGGATATTTTGAAATTATTGAATTACTTGTTAAACATGACCCAAAAGTAAATGCAAAAGATTATTTTGGCTTCACAGCTCTTATGTATGCATCATTTAATGGAAACAATACAATTGTTGAACTTCTCCTTAGTAATGGAGCAAATGTAAATGAGAGGTCGAATTTTGGCATCACGGCACTGATGTGTGCATCATTGAATTGGAATTCAGACATTATTGTAAAAATACGTGAAAAACAAACACATGCCACGTCAGAAAATGTATCTAATATCAAGTTTTTATTTAAAGAAACTATTTATGTCCTAATTAATCACGGGGCTGAAGTAAATGCTAAAGAATATTATGGTTCGACAGCTTTGATGCTTGCATTGCTAAGTAGACATAATGACATCATCGCCTTTGTAAATGATGTGGAGAAATATTCTAGTGATAAACAAATGGAACACAAAAATAAAAGAATGACATTTTCCTTTGATTCAGTCGAAGAAACTATCTTGGAGCTGCTTGAAAATGGGGCAGATGTCAATCTCAAAGACAAAGAAGGTTGGGCGGCATTGATGATAGCCTCAGAGTGTGGTGACATCAATGTTGTTCAAACTTTAATTAACTTTAAAGCTAACGTTAATGAAAAAAATAATATGGGATGGTCTGCATTGACGATAGCTTTACAGTTTGGATTTAAAGATATAGTGTTAAAGTTAATTGAAAGTAATGTGAATATCAATGACCAGACCATCGATAGTTGGACAAATCTAAATATAGCCATACTTAATAAACATTCAGACATTGTTGAATTTCTAATTGAAAAGGGAGCAAATTGTAATGAAAAAAATGGCAATGGACGGACTGCTCTAATGATTGCTGCAGAAAATGGTCTTGAAACAACTGTTGAACTTCTTTGTGAGAAAGGAGCAAGTGTTAATGAAATAGATCAATTGGGTTGGACTGCTTTAATGAAGGCATCACAGAATGGACATTTTAAAGTTGTTAAAATTCTTGCTGACCGGGGTGCGAATCTTAATAATAGAAATGTTGATGATATGACCTCTGCTATGATTGCGTCATTATATGGACACACTCAAGTCATTGAGATACTCATTGAAAAGGGGGCAAACATAAATGAAACAAATAAATTTGGATTAACGGCCCTGATAATAGCATCCTATCATGGTAACAGCAGTATTGTTGAAGTAATCGTAAATGCAAATGGGGACAACGTACAAACTGCAAACAACATAGACCGAGCTTGGTTCTCTGGGTTGAAAAGCAAAAGAGCCCATGTTGCTGAATTATTAACGAAACGTGGAGGTAATGCCACTTTGGTCAACAAACATGGAATGATCGAACTGATTAAAGCTTTAGAGTATAAGACCCGTGATGCTGGTGAGCTTTACAAAAAAATAGAGGCTAGACATATTTTGACAAGAAATGAAAGCAACTGCAAATATATTTCTAATTTAATGCCTGCCATGATAAAATTATTCTCGGGTTCACCAAATGATGAAGAAATTTCAATGGAATCCAGCACAGAACCTTTTTGACCTGATGATGATAAAGATATCGATGCTAAAAAGGATGATAATGATGGTGGGTCTGGTACAGCTCAAGGTATGCTTTGCTTGGTGTAGTATAGTAAAATCATAGTAATTAATAAAACTATCTATTGATTAGTTAATTTGCACTTAAACATTTCTAAAATACTCGATTTGAACTAATAAAGGGACTTGTAAATACGTTTTAAATGTTCTAGTGAAATGAGTATGTCTACAAAACATTGTGTTCAAATTGATTCATTGAATGAAATACAGGCAGTAAAAATATACGTTTGATGAAATAGTTCATTTCACATCTCCAAACTAGCAGCTATAACAAACCTGTTGTTTATCAAAATTAATTTCTCCAAATTAATTTACTTATCTGAATCTAAATTTTTGTTTAGACGGTTAAACGGGGTATTTTGCTTATCTAGTAAACTCAAATGGAAACCAGGATAAAATGTACATCGGCCAAGTTGTCGTAGCCAAACTGGTGTTACAAGGTCAAATTAATCTCAGCCCAGATGAAGCCTAGAAAATCTATACAATGTTGGAAAAACTGTCCCTCGCCAAGCTGTGCTCAAGTGTGTAAAATGTAACATAGCTTAGATTATACAATACAGACCAAATTATACTCTTCTAACATGGTAATTAAATTAAATCTAATTTATTTTAATGTGTATCAGCGTTGTGATGAACTATGACTATATTTTAACAGTAAATTGGATGAATTTTTAATTTCTTTTCAAGATAGTTCGATACGTAAGTAGATAGACATTTAGGTAGGAGGGTTAGTAAATGGGTAGTTTGATAGACAGGCAGATAAGTTCTTAGGTTGATTGTTCCGTAGATATTATCAGGTTATTTAATAATGCTATACAGGTAGGTAGGTAGAATTGTTTGATTATTACCTTGAACATCCAATAAAGGCCATCCTGTAGAAAACTTTTTTCTTAAATGCTGCCCGAAATATGCCGCTGGCGAAAGAACGTCATCTTTGCCGACATTGCAAATTTTAAGCTGTAGAGTTGGATGTTTCTTTCATGAATAGTCAATATTTCATTGGAAAAAAAAAATTTTACGCTCACATAAACAGTGTAAGGTCATGAGCTTATAGAGACGTTTAGATTTTTTTTAACAACCATCTTAAAAACTCAAGACAGTAGTCAAAAGCTATTCGAAAAATAAATATAATATGGAACGCATTTTCTAATATCATAATTTGCTTTAATAATTTCAGTGTTGTATTCAAGAAGTAGCAAGGAACTGGAATAATGTGGTGAGAATGTAGTTTATTATCTGACTTTATACATTCCCAGGACTATCATATTCAAATTTTCTTTGTTTTTTCTAAATGTGTTTCTAGTCACTGATGAAGGCGTTTTGCCAATAAGTACGTTATTTATTTTGTTATTGTATTTTTTAAAAATCATTTCCACCTAACCCGTTTTTCTTATTAATAAGCCTAGTAATTATACGTTTTAGTAAGTAAAAAAAATAGATTAATTAAATTAGTAAGACTGAATCAGTTCCCTATTACGTTGTATTGTTAACACACTTAGCATGATTCAGCTTTAACGTAATTGTGTATAATAAAATTGTTTTTCTCATGGCGTAAGAAATCAATGGAATAGTGTTGACAGCGAGGAATGGACGGAAGTAGAAATTGTTGAGGAATTCTAATTTGTCTGTTCTGTTATTACTTTCTGATGAGCAGACAAAAAAATGGTTGGGTAATCGAAAGGACATTTTATTGGAATGAGTACAAACATCAACATAAATATTTTAAAATAAAGTTGATGACAGGAATATGATTATATTACATGTTTGCCCATATAAAGGATTTTTTGTGTGTAGATTTTATATAAAGTTATTACATTTATAACTAAATAAAATGTTATGTGTTATTTTGGTTGTGTTATTGTTATAAAACCTTTACAGTTATAGAGATTACACTCATGGCGTTTTAGTAATATACAATTTTATGTACATTGATTGATTGCCACATTACAGGTTAGTTTTTGTACAATGTTTAACTTTTAAAATAATCAATTTTTAAAATATGTTTTCCTACTTTATTTACTGCAAATTCATTTTTAAAAATGTTTACAGTTTTATTTATTTCATTACCATGTATAATTTTAATGTGCAAACTATAAGTATTTAATGTTAATGTTGAAATTACATTTTAATATAAAATTGCAGAAAAAAAATCAATTTAAGATCATTGCAAAAATTGTATATCATATTTATTTTATAGAATTTTTAAAATAAAGATCATTTTTTCTTACAAAATGACAGAAAGTAGAGATGAAAAGATTGTTTCAAATTATTAAATTGAACTAGCTGTTTACAGCTACCCAATAATTAAAGTATTTTTGTAACTGTAATAATAACATAGAATGGGAAATAAGAAATTAGCCCGACCCCTGTTAATGATATTTACTTTTCAAATGAGTGGTGGAAAACGAACAAAAAAATTATGTTTTAAATCAATTTTTTTTTTACATATATGTTTTTGTAAATAATTTTAGTGATAAAACTTTTAAAGGTTAGCTGCACATCCACTTATCCCTTTTTTGTCTTTTAAAAAGACATATGGACCAGTATCCTAAACCATTCACCAGTTCTTACTGTTTTTTTATGTTGCCCCGGACTACCCACATGTTATATTTATCAAAGCTAGCGAAGTGTTATAATTATTCCATCGTAGAGGAATGGGAGAGAGCTCGTAAGCTCGTGTTGTTGTTTTAACAGCATATTTGTCATGTAGGCACAGACACTATTGTTACAAAATAAATGTTAATCTACCAAGAGTCTCATGTTCATTTAACCGAGGAAGTGCTGAGGGATTAGATTCAACTCAATTATTTACCCTCAACAAACGTGATGTTATGAATGTTAACAAAAAATTTAAAAAAAGTAATTAAAAAAAATACCTTTTTTTCATCAAAGGCTTTTAATTCCATTAACTAATTTAATGAATTTCAATTGCTTCATATTGGTTTTTTTTTTTTAAAGTTACAGTAGTGCAGCATTAAAATTTAATGTGGCAATTGCACTTAATACATCTTGAGACTCTTATCCTATGTATAGAAAAATAACTGATGAACTGAACATGATATTTTATGAAATAAATAATCAAGATATAAATGAAACTTTAAATAACTAATAAAAAACATACGAATTATATAATTTTTGTTTTAAGATATTTGTATTTTCTTTGTTTTAATGTTGGTCCATTGTACATGGTAATTATCAATAAAATTATAGCAAAACATTGAATTGATAATTTTTGATGTACTTTCATTTGATTACATTTGGTTTAGTCCACACCATCTCAAGTCAAACAACAACTCCAATAAAGAATTATTAGATTGTACATGGGCCATTGTCGTCACATGATTATATACTATGCATTAGATTGAACATGGTTCCTTGTAATCATATGATTATATAATTTGTATTATATTATACATGAGCCATTGTAATTATATAATTATGTACTATGTATTAGCTTGTACATGGATCATTGCTATTATTTGATTATGGCTCCTTGAAAAGTTGCTTCAAAATAGAAAGAGCCAAGTAACGTGACACGCATAGCGCCATTTATTATTTCACTACATACGTATTTCTGTGACATCAAGTGCCATTAAGTTTTCATTTTTTAAATATATTATTTTGTTATATTTTATTGCATAATTCCCTGTAATCAGTTAATTTGAACCCAAATAATACAGACAACCCAACATGCACCAGGCCAAAAAGGGATGCAACTATTGAAATTATATAAGATACTTTGGCGGAATCGTTTCTCTCCCCTAAAGTCTCCCCAACAACGTTCACGTCACGTGACGAGTCCCCATCCACATCATCATTTTCCTTAATCGTGCCATCATCCCGACCGTAATCGCTACCGAATAAAGCCGCAGACAGAATGGTGCCGTTAAAAGACGGGCTCGTCTTCAAGACAGACTCAGTGAATGTCCACGCCCCAGGTTCGGCAAGGTGAAGCTCACCCCAAGGGTCGGACAGAACGATCTGTGGGTAGACAAAGTGAGTCCCCAGCTGAGCGGACATTTTCAATTTCAGGAAGTGTGTCGAGGACATTGTCGTTGCTGCACCGCACGTCGATCTGTCGAACGCGCTGTCGCATTTGACGACGGTGCATATCTGGAAGTAGTACTGACACTAGAATGTGTGGAGGCCGTCGAAGGCACCGAAAGCGTAGAGCTCTTTCTTATGATCCCGCTCTTTGATGGCGTACTCTAGCTCACATCATACCTCTTTCTGGCAGACTTTGAGAGTCCCTGTGGGCCGGTCCAATGCCACGAACGTGAATTGGTCGTAAAACAGCAAAGACGTAAACTCACCGGTGACGTCCATATATACAGCCCTCGCTTTATCCTCGCTGCTTTTACTCCACATTCTCTCACTGTGGCTCAACATGTTCTCACGATACCCGTATCACGATTGATTCTATGGGGAGGGCCGTAAGCTGCTGTAATAAATAATGTTCACTGCCCGCATAAGAATCATAAGATGGTTTTACTCTATGACAGTTCTATACCTAAGATTAATGTTACAACTAACCTTCAAGTTATATTTCTTGAATCATGTAGAATATGTCTTTTGGATATTAATAAGAATATTTTTTGTTTAGCCCTAAAATATATGTTAGACTCGAGATACCAAGCCAGACACCTGGCCGCCATCTTGTGATTAAGTAATGGTAAGACTTCATCACGTTATTAACATGTTTAAGCAAGTGAACGAATGAAAACCTCTTACCAGAGTTTCAGCTTTTAGATATTCTATTTTATTATTTTTGTTTTCAATAGTCAGTGTGTTGAGCTGTCTATATAAGTTCAGTTCCCATGTGGTCAGTTGTCCGCTTGATCACCTGTCTGTGTGTTCACTTGGCTGTGGTTTCACGTGTCAGGTGTTCGGTTTGTCTTGTTGTGAGTTGTCGAGTGTTCAGTTGTCGTGTTTTAATTAGTCCGATCACCAAATAATCTCTTTCAAAACAATTGTGTCACTTAACAATGCCAATAAATCATTTTTTCAACATGTTGCCAAATGTGCTAGATACGACTGGAACCAACGTTTGCAAACGTAAACATGAGTTCAAAAAAAAATTTTTTTTAAATATATATATAATTTTGGGGTAAAATTATTTTTTGGAAAAAAACTTTTTTTTTTTTAAATTTCATTTTTTTTTTGCAACGAAAATGAAATCCAGACATGCAGTGGCGTAGCGAGGGTGGATGTCAACCGGTGTGGTAAACTCATGGAGACACCCCCCCCCCTTTCCGATTTTGGAAAAAAACTTTTTTTTTTTAAATTTCATTTTTTTTTTTGCAACGAAAATGAAATCCAGACATGCAGTGGCGTAGCGAGGGTGGATGTCAACCGGTGTGGTAAACTCATGGAGACACCCCCCCCCCGACTTCCATGAAGGATTTCTTCTTGTTAAAATAAGTTCACAGTATAACAATGACAAGAACAAAAAATAAATTAATTAAAGGTCAAGAGGTAGATTTATTTAACATCTTAACAAAGTTAAGTTATAGTACTTTTAAATTAAATTTTCTATCTTTAAAAAAAAAATAATGTTCCTTGCCTGATCTTCACAGCTGCAAACCTGTCAATCACTTGATCAAAACCAATGTCCTTTACCGTCTAACTTTAAGTTAATAGTAGATCCAGATCAGAGAACCTTGAATGTCCCATGATGCATCGTAAATACTCCTTGATAAGCCTTAGTTTTGAAAAGCTCCGCTCACATGAAGCCACACACACACAGGACGTAAGAAACGAATAAAGGTTTAGCGAGAGTATTGGAAGAGATTCCAGGGAGTCCCCTTCAGCTCTGAATTTCAAAACATCAAACATTGACCCGTCCTTGACTTTGTGAAATTGAACAGAATATGCCTTTAGGTGACCTCTAAGCCTTGGTATTTCTTTTGAACGTTCAACCTCTGATAACTCTTCATTGAAAGAGGTTCATTTTTAGAACGAAAACCAACAACTCTTCTTCACTTGCTGATAGTAGACTAATGGTTTCAACAGCCCCAAACATATATGCAACTTCCTTGATGATCTGATCTGGGGGTCCAGAATGAAAGCGATCAATACAATCAAGCATTTTCCTACTGTTTTCTTCTCGAAGTAAGTGTCCAGCATCTTAATTGTTCCCCTGCCATTATCTTTTTAAACCTTAATCTTCTCACTACCAAAATTCCATATTGGTCTGATTTTAAAAGTGTTTCTTCAATGGAATGTTCCAGCAAGTGGCTGCGC